TAGAGGATCCTCAGCGATGGCCCCGATCGCTCCTACACTATAGAGGATCCTCAGCGATGGCCCCGATCGCTCCTACACTATAGAGGATCCTCAGCGATGGCCCCGATCGCTCCTACACTATAGAAGATCCTCAGCGATGGCCCCGATCGTTCCGCTGGCCTGCAGCCGAACCAACTACGCTAGGCTCCCCCGAAACACATCTTCCCTGACATCTCCCATGATGCTCTGTGCCTGCACCACACTCTGAGTTTAAGGGCGCCCCCTTCAGGCATGCTGATGACTGGCCCCTTCTGCTTCTTGTTCATCCTCCCCCTCTCTGGTCTGGGGCTCTTCCCTGCTTTGTTCTGGTCGTCTTTCTCTCCGCCGCTCCTCCGTTACAAATCGCACAATTTTCCATCGCTGGCACGCACACAGCTATAGTGGGGGCCATGTTGCATAACCATCCCATTACAGGCCCCCCACCCAAAAAAAGAATGCATTACACAAAGCGGCATAAGGCCAATCGAAAAATCAGCCATTGCCCGCCTTGAGGGCCGTGCGCCAAACTGGCGATATCGTAGCGCAGATATTTAGATTTATTCGTTGCTTATAAATTTCTCTGAAATCAGCCCACAGTTTGTTCTCCAGATGGAAGAACAGATTGTGTTATGTGTCTGTTGGATGAAAAGTGAGGCTAAACGATCACGTGGCTCACGCTTTCCCTCCCTGTGCCCCCCCCCCCCAACCCCCCTCCAGCAGCGATTCCTGGGATGATCGTCCCTCCGATGTAGAAGATTTGTGAACGGAGGCGGGGACACTGCAACGCCGTAGATTCCGGCTCTCAAACCCAGGCATCTCGACAGCTCTACATGAGAAACGGGAACCGTAACTCAGGCCTTTATTTAAAAACAAAAAAAAACAAGGAATTATATTTGGTAAAAAAAAAAAAAAAAGAACGGGGGGATAGCACTGCAACAATGCGTTCACGTTTTAAATTCGTAAAAATTGCGTGGATGCCTGTGAAGAAGCAGGGTGACAAGCCTCCCCGTGCAGGCGGACGGGAACCATATTTATTTTGGAAAAATCCGATTTCTCCCTGTTGCTTTCTCGTTTAAGTTTTCATTTAGTTTGAACGTTATGCCTATTTTTTAAGAATTGTAATACACGAGGGACTCTATTTCGGTATATTTTATTTATAATGTTTAATTGAGGGATGGAGTGGAATGTGAGGCGTGTAGCTTTGTGACTGTGAGATACGCTCATTAGCGAATTTCTTCGATCAGGAATGAAGACTGAAGTGGTTAAAGGCCCTCAGTAGGTCGCACTGCTCAGTCCTTCTGGAAATGGGGATTTCCGGGGTTGAGCCTCAGAAGGGCCTCTGGAGGGCGCTGTAGATAGGGCTGACACACAGACACACAGGTCTCTACACCAGCTCTCTTACGCTTTACGCTCATCTCACTGGCCGCTATCAGGTCAAACACGGCCGTCACCTGATCCTCGGAGCCATTTACCCACAATGCAATGCTGATCTCACAGTGTTGCGCTGGCATGTTGGCCCCGGCACCCCCAGGGTTTTCTCTGTGTGTATTGCGGCTTTTGGGGAGGGGGGGGGCAGTGTTTGCCATAAATTAACAAAGCCCTTTATTTTTAACATTCGCTATTATATCAGTTAAGAAGGAAAAATGCAATTAACAGGTTGTCAACATTATATGTTGGCTTTACAAATGAAAGGTTTTATATTTTGAGTAGCCCTGCGGACAGATCCTGCTCTACATGAGGCTATTTAGGGGAGATTTTGTTTCTTTTTCATTTCGTAACGAGACTGTGATCTTCATAGTTGGCCTTCTGTGCTTTCTTGCCTCCTAACAAGAACAAACGTTGAGGAAGCGAAAGGAGAGAGATCCCTCGGGGAAAGTGCATGAAGAAACGAAGGAAAAAGACTTATTTTTCGGTGATCATGAAGGAGCACTGTTACGTAACACGAGGTCTTTCGACTTTGTCCTTTCTTTTCTTATCCAGCACTAATAATCTGCTCAACAAAAGTGTCAAAGACCCCCAAAAAATCGGTCGGATCATTTCAATCGTTTATGTTCTATAATTTGTGTATATAGCAATACATGTTTGTTTTTGTGGTTAGATTTTTTTTCTTTTGCCAAAGCCATTGTTTTTAAATATATTTATACATTAAAATGTCTTAAGGCAGCTTCAGGATATGTTTACCAACTGCTAACTTGCAAATGATAAAAACAGAGAGGATGTGGAATTTCTGGATACATTAAGGAGTTTTCTGTAAAATATCCATATAAATAATGTATTTATCTCTGGAAGTTGTGCATCGCCTCTCTCCCCACGTTGATTTCTTTGCTCTGTGATGAAGTGCTGACCTCCTTACTTTACTTGGCATCTGGCTCTTTCAGTGTGACATTGATTTCTCTCATTTAGCCTCTCGTTTCTCATTCATTTTGTACCGTTTTAAGGCTGTGCTTCCATTGTTTTTTATTTCCGCACATGAAAAGCCATTGTCTATTTTTGTATTATTTGTAAGTTAATGAAGAGTTTTTTTTTCTTTTTTGGAGTTTTCTTAATGTATGGCAAAAGAGTAGCATCTTATTCTGATAGTATTTAGTTATGTAGATTTTAAAATATGAATATATGAATATCTATCTTTTTCTTTTTGCTCTGTGAGGCTGTCAGGAGCTCATACTGTTTTGAATTGATAATATGCATGGCTCTTTAATATGAGAGTGACAGTTGCATTCTGTGCGTTGAAACTAGGAAGCCCGTTCTGAGGAAACGCTCTTGAAAATACTTTCTTTTGGGGATTTTGCCTTCTGTTCTCGCTGTCACCCTCCCTTGGTTATTGAAACCTGATTCCTACATTTCTGTTTTTTCTCACTATTACATGAACCAGCAGTTCAGATGCCTTAACAATGCAAACCCATTAGCACCACTGTCGAGCTCCTGAGAAGTTTTTATTTTGAAAAAAAGGGGGGGGGGGCTGGGCTTGGGGGGACACGGATTGAGATGTTTTCATGATCCAGATTGATGTTTACCGGCACTCGTTATTCCTCATGGCCCAACAAGAGAGACCCTGTCGATCGATGCACTTGGTGGGGGGGGGGGGGGGGGGGGGGGGGGGGGGGGGGGGGGGGGGGTCAGAGCAAGGAGTGGAAGACTCAAGATCTATGATCAATATTTAATGTGTGTTGCAGCTGGGTGGGGTGCAGGGAGTGTGGAGGAGGCACTATATCATTAATTTAAGACAAAGCTGGCCTTTTATTGTCTCTGTGATTTCTTGTTTTCCTTTAAATCAGGGTAACCGGAGGAGAAGAGAAAAATAGAGGCCATATTCTTTAAGGCCGTTGTCCTGGAAATTGAGGTCGAATGTTTCCTCATCTGACCTATGAGCATGTGCCCCACCCTCACGTGATGAACGTCTGGGCAGGGGGGCGTGCTGGCATGTACCTGAGCCCTAACCCTGCATAACATCGCCCCGCAACAAGCTCCCCCTGAACGGCCAACATTCAGCGAGAAAGGCTGGGTCACGACACCCCTCACCTTAAGCGTTTTAGCGATTTTATTGGGCACTTTGAAGCGTGTTTGTGTGTATCTCCCATATGGTCCAGCCCACCCCGCCCCCCAGGAGACAAAATGGCTTTTTATTTTACATTGGAGATATTGGTTTAAAGTGACATCCAAAGCAAGGACCTGGCTGATGGGCCTCTGGGTCAGAAACACAGGCGATGTCCTGAGTGGATACTGGGGGTCTTGGGGGGGGTGCTGTGTGCTTATGTTTCTTTCAGTTTAATTTAACACAATGAAGAGAATGGGAATACCTGATGGAGGCTTTGTGCGCGCTGTTTCTTCCCCGTGGTGGAGACGGCCGAAGATGACTGCCGCTGTGTTTGACACAATCAAAGCTAAAAGCTGGTTTTCTTTCTTCTTGTTTCCACTTTTTTGATTTTGTTTGTTTGTTTTTTTGACTGGTCACACTGAACAGTTCTACTGAAGAGGGATTAAAACTACTGTATAGATTGTTATCATTTTTGATGAACTCTGAGCTGTAAAATTACTTTTTGACTTTCACAATATTTAATTAAAGTTACTTCTTGTCTGTGATCTCTGTCAGTGGCTTCCTCATCTGTTGGCCGACCGTAAGACATGTCTCACGCAGCCCAGGCTCCAGCGTGGCTTTCTGGGGCCCAGTGTCCAAGTCGTTCACAAACCTGCACATGTAGGCGAGGTATAACCACAGGAGAGTGAAAGCTGGAATTCTGTCCAAAGGCAGCCACACAGCAGTCATACCTCAGACGATATAATGGATGGTTGTTGTGTTTGTACACCCTGCTAATGTGTTAAGTAACAGAACATTATATGTGCCTCAACACAAGCCAAACACCCAGGAATTTTAATACAGTGCCAGTAACCGTCAATAAACCCTTTGCCACTATACTTTATTATCCTCAATGTCAACGTCTCTGGGCCACTTCCCATTAAGCTCAAGCGTCTCCCTGTGAGCTGCCTTTGGAGCGAGAGCCTCCCGTGTGATGTTTGGGGACACCCTGAGGCTGCCTGGGGCAGGTTTGGACAAAATCATGATCTTTTCTAGGACATAATCACTTCAGGATGGAGAGTCGGTCTGTCACCCTCTGCCAGCTAAACACTGCATTTCCTTCAGAGGCCTGATTACCTACTGTTATTTTATCTGAGGAAATGCCCATCTTTCAGTCACCAGTCCACATTTCACAAACCTGAAAAGAAACACAATAGTCAGTCACGTCCAACAGAATTGGTATCTGATAGCAGAATAAACAAGCCCACTGACTCACCCAAACAGGACATGACAGCATAACTGAGTCACGATAGACCCTGACCTGCTTAATTCTGGCTGACACACCTAACGTCCTCGCTTACAAACGGGCCAAAATCAAGCAAAATGTACGCAGACGAGGGATGAGAGCGGCTTAACAGAACTCCTGGAAATGGAAAACTGGGATAAATGGCACTGTCTCAGAGCACAGGTCCAACTGGTCGCCTTCTTGGAGGGACGTCTTCCCAAGGGGATATCTCGGAGGAGACGTCTTTCAGAAGGGATGTCTCGGAGGGGACGTCTTTCAGAAGGGATATCTCGGAGGGGACGTCTTTCAGAGGGGATATCTCGGAGGGGACGTCTTTCAGAAGGGATATCTCGGAGGGGACGTCTTTCAGAAGGGATATCTCATCGAGGGTGATATGAGGGGCCGTCAGCCATCTTTGTTAGACACTGCGTATTGAGGTTGGGGTTGAGGTATCAAGCTCTCGTGTGTATACAGCAGGCGTTTGTGTCGTCATAAGGCGATGCTGACTTTGCCATGCAAATAGCAAAATAAATAAACACACACACCCTACACTTACGTAAGGTAATATGGGGAATAAAGTCAGCGACATCTTTCCAGCAAAAATGGGACGTCCCAGGAGGATCTGGGACTGAAGAGGCGGGGGCTGTGAATAAAGGCTGGGGGGGGGTGCAAGCTGGTAGCAAGAAATGAAAGGGCGCTGACTGTCAGAGTCACAGGGCTATTGGGGAATGCGGTGGGGGAGTGAGGAACACACTGAGGAACACTATTGGATAGACACACTGGGGGTGTGGCTCAAGGGCGGGGCCTGGGATACTCAGCCAATGATGAAGGGCCATTTACTCTCCCAGTCTACAGGCGGCTCAGCTTAGTGGCTGGAATGCCTGAAGAGTGCTGTTAGTGAAGCTGCACCTTAGCATAGCATTAACATTTAAACCATGGGAAATTGGTTAGTGTAGATTCGGTTAGCTTAGCAGCATCCAGACAGCTTGCTCACTCACCACCAAAGGCCCGTCTGTGATGGGAAGGGGCATGCCTGGAAACCCAGTGCTCCGTACAGCCGGGGTCTCGGCAAGCTGCCCTCATCAATAACAGTCTGATTTCGCTGGGTGCTCGTCGTACAGCCGCACAGGGCTTGTGTATCGGATGGGAAGGATGTGACTGAAAAGAGCAGAGGTATAAATCACACCTCACTACGCATTCTGCTCCCCGTGCGAATGAGGGATTTCCGTATCTGTCAGGATTTGCCCTGGAAGTGTCATAAATGTTTGGTCGATCTGTTTAATCCCCATTCTCTCCATGCTTATAGACGCAAGTTCATCTTATTACAAATTAACCCTTAGAACCTAAAAAAAAGGCTAAATGCATTGATTCTCACACCCATTTATCTGAGGCTTGTATCTTTGGATAGGTATAACGCACAGATGTGAATCACATATCGCTGGAATCGAGAGTCCAAGAATTCCAGAGTAATTCTGTGCACAACTTTGGTTTGTTTGAGGCAAAAATATTTGCAAATTTCACTTTACCACTCATAGTGTATAAAGGCGGAGAAATGATAGCGATAAGCTAAAACTGTCTGTTATGTCCGTTATATTCGTATATATATATATATATATATATATAGTGTTTGCAACATGCCATCCTTGACAGATCACAAAATTTGAAGCATTACGTAAGAATCTAGGCGAGCAATTTAATTGCCTGGATTTATGAGGTTAGATGGATTTTACATGGATTCCCGCACTGCGGTTCGGTCAACTGGGAACACGGGATCCCGCAGTGAGTCACCCTGCTTGCCGGGCTCCATGTGGCCGGTCACCGTGACGATCTCCTCACTGATGTCACTGGAACCACTGTCGTCTAAATAATTGATATAATTACAATCCCATGATGTCACCTAGGCCCTCTTCAATATTTCACGAAGCACTTTCCGCAAGGAGAGCCGACTGGTGTGGACTTTAAAACTTACATTAGGGGTTCTTCAAATCTCCCGGTGAAGTGCAGTAAATCTGACATCTGCCCCCATCTCTCTCTCTCCCTCTCTCCCCCCCCCTTTGTGATTAACGGTCATGCCAGACATTTTCCCGGAGCCCGAGGTGTCTGGTCGGGCCGCGCTCCTCAGAAGTTCCCTTTCCGACAGAAACCATCTTACTCTAGGCTGCATTTTCTCTGGTACAACAGCGGGAATTTGCAGTGGGTCTCTGTCCTGCAGAATCCAGCACAGCATCACAGCCTCGAAAGCGGCACCAGGGGGTTAAAAAAGCACTATGGCGGCGTGTGAGTATTTACTCTAATTGCAGGCAGTAATTTGCTGTGAGTGTGGCTAATGAGCAGGCCTGAGCTATCTAATGGATGTCATAAACAGCATTTAGCTAGTTAGATTTTACAGGTGCGGCGTGCGACTGAACGGCCCGTGAGCCCTTTCTGATAGCCCTATGCACGTGGGGGAGGGGGGTGGGTGCTGGGGGGTGGGGGGGGTGCTGTTTCAGCCCGCACTCCCGATTCCCGCCGCCAATCTCCCCGGAATGGCTGAGAGGTATCTGCGCGATGATAAATGCGGCTCCATTAACGGGGATCACCGCGTTCTGTCAGCTGTTTATCTTGCCGGTGCAATTATTCACCCAAATTAAGTCATTCATACCCTGGCGATTAAAAACGCCGCAGAGTCGTTGTGAGGCATGACACGAGCGATCATGTGACACAGAGGCGTCTTTCCTCTGTGTGACAAATGCATGTTCAAGGGACTGGAGGTGGTCACTTGATGTGTGGAACCTGGGGACCCTTTCAGACCTTGAAACGAAAACGGCTTTAGGTGATGTGTATAGCGGTAGAACAGGAGGGTGTGTTGGTGTCCGGGGGCGGGGCTAAGACAGGTGACAGCCTCACTGATGATGCACATGAACAGATGCCTGCTTGGTCTCCCAGGCGAGACCACATGATCCCGCCCTAAAGCCTCTGGCTCCAGCCCCCCATCCTTGAATAACAGTGACTATAATGTTTTCTTTATCTTCCTGTATCTACCTGTAGGCTCATTTCAACAATATCAGCTGTCTTCTCAGGATTACATTTATAATTTTTAAGTTTATATATCAGAAACCCAATCATCTGCTGATCTAGTTAGACTCAGTGCGGACGGAGCCACCAGACACCCTGAAATTGACCGTTCTTCGACTATTCGCTGGACAGACACCATTTTTCTCTTTCCAAAAACTCCGACCAGATGCTGGTGGCTCTGCTCCAGTTCCCAGCTCCACCTTACCAGGAGTAAACATCAGGGA